GGGCTAATTTTCCATCTGGGAAGAGCAGCAGGAGGGAGGGAGGGAGTGTGGGGACAGCTGGGACAGAGGTGAGTCCCTCCCCACCCTCCGAGGGGGAGCACCCACAGTGAGAATTCCCAGGACCAATCCCTGTATTTATGGTCTAAAAAACCCCCAAACCTGTCCCTGACTGGGATTTCAGGACTGTGGAAAGCAGGAGCAGAAATAAGCAGGATGATAAGGCTTCCAAACTCCTGGATGGTGCTGAAATTGTGGGGTTTGGGGGTGATAAGGAAAGAATTTCACTTAGAAATTCTGACTTTTGGGGAATAATCAGCTGGAAATGGGATCAGGGGATGCTCAGGGAGATTTTTGCCTGGCTGGAGGAGGGATGGGACAGGATTGGGTGCTGAGCACCAAAAATAGGGATGGATGAGGATTTTGGGATGATTCCTCACCCAATCATCACTGCACAGAGGTGTGTCCCAGTTTTTGGTGCTGCTGGGACACTCGGGGTCACTCACAGCAGGAGCAGGGATGGAAAGAACCCCAAACCTGGGGTAAAACCCCCAAACCTGGGATAAAAACCCCAAACCCAGGATAAAAACCCCAAACCCGGGATAAAAACCCCAAACCTGAGATAAAAACCCCAAAGCCAGGATAAAACCTCTAAATCCAGGATAAAACCCCCAAACACGGGATAAAAACCCCAAACCTGGGAAAAAAAAACCCAAAGGCAGGACCAAAACCCCAAACTTGGGGCAAAACCCCCAAACTTGGGATAAAACCCCCAAACCCAGGATAAAACCCCCAAACCCGGGGTAAAACTCCCAACCCCAGGGTGAAAACCCTAAACCTGGGATAAAACCCCCAAAGCCAGGACAAAACCCCAAATCCAGGATAAAACCACCAAAGCTGGGATAAAAACCCCAAACCTGGGAAAAAAACCCCAAAGGCAGGACCAAAACCCCAAAGGCAGGACAAAACCCCTCAGGAATCGCTCGTTCTTGGCACAGGTCCTGCAATTTTATTCCAGAGGATCCCAGAGCAGAGGGAACGGGACCAAAACCAGGGACAAAACCAGAACTGGGGATTTGGGGAGAGCTTTTGGGATCGGGAGCACCACGAGGAGATTTGGGCTTGGAAACCCCGAGCAGGAAAAAAAAATCAGCTGTGACAGTGACATTCCCCAAAGAAGCACCCAAGAAATTCAGCTTAGAGCTCAGTTTTAGTTCAGAGCTCATTTGCAATTTAGATCTCAATTTCAGATTAGATTTTATTTTCAGCTTAGATCTCATTTTTAGTTCAGGTCTCATTTTCAGTTTAGATCTCATTTGCAATTTAGACCTCAATTTCAGTTTAGATTTTATTTTCAGCTTAGATTTTTTTCAGTTTAGACCTAATTTTTATTTTGGATCTCATTTCCAGTTTAGATCTCATTTTCAGTTTAGATCTCATTTCCAGCTCAGATCTCATTTCCAGTTTAGTTCTAATTTTCAATTCAGATCTCATATCTAGTTTAGATTTAATTTTCAGTTTAGATTTATATTCCAGTTTAGATTTATTTTCCAATTCAGGTCTCATTTCCAGTTTAGATCTCATTTCCAGCTCAAATCTCCTTCCCAGTTTAGATTTATTTTCCATTTCCAGTTTAGATCTCATTTCCAGCTCAGATCTCATTCCCAGTTTAATCCCCTTTTCCCAGCCCAGTCCTTCCCAGTGGAACATTCCCATCCCAGCCCGTGCAGTGTGGGATGCTCCAAGCTGGTTTTAGCTTAAACTCAGTGTCCGAGCTGGTTTTAGTATAAATTCAGTGTCCATGCCTGTCTGAGCTGGTTTTAGCTTAAACTCAGTGTCCAAGCTGGTTTTAGCTTAAACTCGGTGTCCGAGCTGGTTTTAGCTTCAACTCAGTGTCCGTGCCTGTCTGAGCTGGTTTTAGCTTAAACTCGGTGTCAGAGCTGGTTTTAGCTTAAACTTGATGTCTGAGCTGCTCTTAGCTTAAACTCGGTGTCCGAGCTGGTTTTAGCCTAACCTCGATGTCCAAGCTGGTTTTAGCCTAACCTCGGTGTCCGTGCCTGTCTGAGCCGGTTTTAGCTTAAACTCGGTGTCTGAGCTGGTCTTAGCTTAACCTCGGGGGATTCCAGCAGCGCCCCGAGGCTCTGGGAGTGAAACCTGTGGGGTTTGGGCAGGAGGTGCCCTCGGGGGGGTCATAAAGGGATTTTTTTGGAGGTCAATAAAGGGATTTTTGTTGTTCCCAGCGGATAAGAGCAGGGATGGGAACATTTTGCAACAGCGAGAGGAGATGTCCTTCCCTCTGGAATCCGGGATCCTCGGGGGGTGCCCGGAGAAAAATGGAGCTGGAGATAGGAAAAGTTACTTTTCTAAAAAGTTACTTTCCTAAAAGAGACAATTCCAAAGGCACAGAAATTCTGATAGCGAGAGAAAAATTCCCAACTCCTGAGCTTGGCTGTCCTCCCCGCCCTGCCCTCCCTTCCCTGCAATTTTGCCCCTGGAATTTTTGCCTCCTCTGCCTGGGAGCTCAGAGGATTCACCAGGCAGAAGAGAAATCCCAAAAAATCCTGTGGAAAAGGGGAAAATCCTGTGGAAAAGGGGAAAATCCAGGCAGTTCCTTCTCGTTCTTTGTTGGTTGCATTTCCCTGCTCCAGGAGGGAATTTCATGGGAATTTTCATTTTCAAGGGAAGAGCAGGAATCACAGGAACATTCCTGGAGCTTCCCAGGGAAGAAACCTCAGTGGAATTGAATCCCAGGAGATTAAATCTGCTCCAGCAGAGCTTTGCTGAGTTACTCCAGCTGAGAAAATGCATTTCCAGCTGAGAAAATCCATTAAAATTCATTTAAGGAAGGATTCAGGAAATATTTAAGGAAATATTCCAGCTAAAAAAGGAAATAATGAAGGAAATCTCCTTTATTCTCACACCTTCCCCATGGAATTGGAAACTTCAGGTGTAATTAGTTTTTAAAAATTGAAAATTTTGCTATTCTGTAAGTGCAAATGGGACATTTTCCCCTAAAAATGACTTGTTGGGATCATCCTGTTGCTGTTGTGCTGCCCCAGCGCTGGGAACTGGGAATCCTGGGGTGATCCAGGTTGGGAAAACACGACTGCAAGCCCCAAATTCCGGCTGCAGTGGGGATTTGCTGCTCTGCCAGCCCGGGAACGCCCGGCAGGGCCAACACCCGGATATGCAAAGCTCGTCTGTCACTGCCCCATTGTCCCTCCCGGGGTGGCACCAGGGCACCTCCGGCTGGGGACGGGATCTGGGCACTTCCAGGGATGGGGCAGCCACAGAATCCCTGGGAATTCCCAGAGCATTGCAATTAAAAACTGAATGAACTGATATTTAAATTTTGGTTCGGTTTTTCTTTGGTTATTTCAGCATTAGTGGCCAGAGAGGTTTGTGCTGCCACTGAAATCCCACCCCTAATCAGCTCTGGGAAGAGCAACACAGAGTTAAACCACCCCAAACTTCAGGAAACAAATATATTTTCCACCTAAAAATACAGTTTCTACCAGGAGGAGCTCCAGGAATTCCCGTAGTAGAGGCAGGGCAGGTAAAGCCAGAGCTCCCAGCTCTGGCCTCATCCAGCCTGGATTTGGGCACTTCCAGGGATGGGGCAGCCACAGAATCCCTGGGAATTCCCAGAGCATTGCAATTAAAAACTGAATGAACTGATATTTAAATTTTGGGTTGGTTTTTCTTTGGTTATTTCAGAGTTAGTGGCCAGAGAATTTTGTGCTGCCACTGAAATCCCACCCCAATCAGCTCTGGGAAGAGCAACACAGAGTTAAACCACCCCAAACTTAGGGAAAAAATTAAATTTTGCACCTAAAAATGCAGTTTCTACCAGGAGGGGCTCTAAGCCACATCCAGGCCAGCTTTGGGAACTTCCAGGGATGGGGCAGCCACGGATTCCCTGGGAATTCCCAGAGGATTGGAATAAAACACTAAATTAATTGTTATTAAAATTTTGGACTGTTTCTTTGGTATTTCAGTGTTAATGAGGAGTGAGCTTTGAGCTGCCACTACTGCCAATCCCTCTGCTCTGAACTTAAGGAAAAATTGGATATTTTCCTCCCAAAAAACCAGGAGTGGCTCCAGGAATTCCCCAGGGCAGGTGAGGCCAGGTGGGCTCTTCCAGGGATGGGGCAGCCACGGATTCCCTGGCAATTCCCAGAGCATTGCAATCAAACACTAAATTAATTGTTATTAAAAATTTGGGCTGTTTTTGGTTATTTCATTGTTAGTGGCCAGAGAGGTTTGCGCTGCCACTGAAATCCCACCCCTAATCAGCTCTGGGAAGAGCAACACAGAGTTAAACCACCCCAAACTTTGGGAAAAAGCAATATTTTCCTCCAAAAAAAAGCAGTTTCTACCAAGAGGGGCTGCAGGAACTCCCCAGGGCAGGTAAAGCTGGGTGCCCCCAGCTCCAGCCTGGATTTGGGCACTTCCAGGGATGGGCTGCCCTGGGAATTCCCAGGGCACTGCAATTAAAATTTTGGGCTCTTTTCAGTTATTTCAGTGTTAGTGATGAGACAATTTCATGCTGCCACTACAAAACGCTGCCACTGCAATCCCTCCCTTCTGGATTTATGGAAAAACCACCTAAAAAACATTCCTCCCTTCTGGATTTAAGGAAAAACCACCTAAAAAACATTCCTCCCTTCTGGATTTAAGGAAAAACCAGACCTTTTCCACCTAAAAAAGCCATTTCTACCAGGAGGAGTTCCAGGAAGTGACGCAGTAGAGTCAGGGCAGGCAAGGCCAGGTGCCCTCAGCTCCAGCCTGGATTTGGGCACTTCCAGGGATGGGGCAGCCACGGATTCCCTGGGAATTCCCAGAGCACTGCAATTAAAGTTTTGGGCTCTTTTTCACTTATTTCAGTGTTAGTGATGAGACAATTTCACGCTGTCACTACGAAACGCTGCCGCTGGATTTTAGGAAACGCCTCCCTTCTGGATTTAAGGAAAAACCCCCTAAAAAAAAAAAAAAAGCCATTTCTACCAGGAGGGGCTCCAGGAATTGACGTAGTACAGGCAGGGCAGGTAGGGCCAGGTGCCCCTGAGCGCCAGCAGCGACATTCCCGGGAATTCTGGCGCTTCCTGGCGCGAGTCCAAGCGGCTCATCCCGGCCACCACCTGTTTCCTCTTGGTCTTGTACCTCCTGTTCTGGAACCAGATCTTCACCTGGGTCTCGGTGAGCTGCAGGTGCCGGGCCAGGTGAGCTCTCTCGGGGGCCGACAGGTATTTCTGGTGGCTGAATTTGCGCTCCAGTTCGATCACCTGGCTGTGGGAAAAGGCGGCTCGGGAGCGTTTGCCCTGCCGGGGAGGCCGCGGGGCCATGGGGTGCACGGCGGGGGCGCAGTCGGGCAGGAACGGCTCCACCGGCGCCTCTGGGAAGGGAAAAGTGGGAAAGAACCGCTTGGGAAAATCCCCACTTGGACAAAAATTCCCAATTCGACAATAATCCCCACTCAGAAAATGTTCCCTCTTGGATAAAAATTCCCACTTGGACAAAAATTCCCAATTTGACAATAATCCCCACATGGGGTGCACGGCGGGGGCGCAGTCGGGCAGGAACGGCTCCACCGGCGCCTCTGGGAAGGGAAAAGTGGGAAAGAACCGCTTGGGAAAATCCCCACTTGGACAAAAATTCCGAATTCGACAATAATCCCCACTCAGAAAATGTTTCCTGTTGGATAAAAATTCCCACTTGGACAAAAATTCCCAATTCGACAATAATCCCCACTCAGAAAATGTTCCCTCTTGGATAAAAATTCCCACTTGGACAAAAATCCCCACACAGACAAAAAACCCCACTGCACAAAAATTCTCACTTGGACAAAAATCCCTACTCAAACAAAAATTCCCACTCGGACAAAAATTCCCACTTGGATAAAAATCCCCACTCAGACAAAAATCCCCACTTGGACAAAAATTCCCAATTCGACAATAATCCCCACTCAGAAAATGTTCCCTCTTGGATAAAAATTCCCACTTGGACAAAAATTCCCATTCACACAAAAATCCCTACTCAAACAAACAGGATAGAATAAAATTCCCAAAAAGGGATATTTCTAGTGCTGGAATAGGGATAGGGATAGTAAATAGGAATAGGAATAGGAATAGGAATAGGATTAGGAATAGGATAGGAAAAATATCCCCAAATAAAATAGGATAAAATAGGAATAATATCCCCAAATAAAATAGGATAAAATGGAATAATATCCTCAAATAAAATAGGATAGGATGGAATAACATCCCAGGATAAAACAGCATAGGATAGGATAGGATAGGATAGGATAGGATAGGATAGGATAGGATAGGATGAAATCCCCAAAAAGGGACATTTTCCAGCGCTGGTGGAGGTCTCCCTAAATCCCAAGGTTCTGTTGTTATGTCTAAAATGGCATCAAAGGAATTTTTTTTTTGCAGGATTCATATCAAATCCTGCTTTGGAATATCCTGTGCCTGTGGGAAAACCAGAATTCCCAAAGGAAATAAATCCTCGAGCTCCCCACTCCTCACAGGAATGGCTCTGCAGTGGGAAATGGGAGCAGCCCAGGGCTGCAGTGGGACAGCATCGGGAATAAATTCCTGCCTTTTCCATCCCATCTCTCCAAGGCAATGCCAAGAGATTTTAGGGCAGTTTTAACCCTTTACATCTCAAACTTCAGACCTGGCCTTGGATCTCCAACTAATTCCCAATGAATCACCAAAGTCAGGAGCCAGGAAGGTGCTGAGCTCCTGGGAAGTCTCACCCACAACAGCTAAAACCCCTCAGTTAAATTTATTTCTGGAGTTAATCCCTTTTTTAACATTATCTGGATGGAAATCAGCCAAATTTTTTTGGCTTTCGGTCATTTTTCCATTTATTTTCTTAAGGTGTGAACACAAGAAAAAACCAAGGGAATAAATTCCCAACTTTGTGAATCCTGGTTGTCCCTGGAATCCCAGAGCTTTTATGTAGGAATTTCTGTTAATAGAATTGGGCTGGAAAGCCAAAATTCCCCTGGCAGGGCTGTCAGAGCCAGTGCTGGAGAATTCCAAAGGGATTTGGGGCTGTTTGAGCTCGGCCTGGGATGTTTGGGCAGGGAAAGGCTGAGTCCCATCTCCAAAAATCTTGTCCCAAAATCCTGAGTCCCACTGGGATTTTGGATGCTGCTTCTCCCTCTCTGGGCAGCCCCTTCCCAAGGTGCCTTTTCTGGGATCTGCATTAAAGGGAATTTTTTTTCCCAAGAATTTTTTTCCCCAATTTTTTGTAGAAATGAATCAAATTGGGTTTTCAAGCAACGTTTTAGGCAGATTCCGAGCTTGGAGCCCTTTGGGGCACAGAGGAAAGGTTTTCACTCAGCCTCTGAATTCCTTACTCTCCCCTGCTCCAGCTCGGACACTCCTGGAGTTTAATCCAAGAGTGGCTCCGGGTCTGGATTCCTGATCCATTCCCTGACCCAAGCTCAGACACTCCTGGTCCATCACTGATCCACTCCTGATCAATCCCTGATCAGTCCCTGATCCATTTGTGATCCATTCCTGATCAGTCTGTGATCCATCCCTGATCCATTCCTGGTCCATTCCCTGACCCAAGCTCAGACATTCCTCATCCTTTCCCTGATGCAAACACAGACTTTACTGATCCGTTCCCAATACATTGCTGATGCATTCCTTATCCCAGACTGAGACATTCCTGATCCATTCCCTCCCTGTCCCAAGCACAGCCATCCCTGATCCATTCCTGATCCATCCCTGATCCATCCCTGATCCATTCCCTGATCCATTCCCTGTCCCAAGCACTGCCATTCCTGATCCATTCCCTGTCCCAAGCACTGCCATCCCTGATCCATCCCCGATCAATTCCCGATCCATCCCCGACCGAAGCGCAGATTGTCCCGCTCCATCCCCGCCCCAGGCACAGCCGTTCCCGCTCCCCCCCGCTCCCCCGTTACCTGTGTCCGGTCCCTGGGCTGTCCCCGCGGCTCCCGGGGGATGGGGACCCCCGGGGGGGAGTCCCGGGGCTGGGCTGGCCCCGCTGCTCTCCTCGCTGCCCGCTCCCAGCCCCGCATCCCCGCCGCTCCCGGCGCGCTCGGGCTCGTCCCAGAGGATGTCCTGGATGAGGAAGGACGTGCGGGGCCTGGAGGGGCCGGCCCGGGGCTGCGGGGCTGCCCCGGGGGTGCCGCTCATGGCCGGGGGGCTGCGGGCCGAGCTCTGCCGCCGTCCCGGCCGCGCCCCGCCGCTCATCCCCTGCTGCTCCCGCCGCTCGCCGCTCCCCGCATTTATCCGGCCCGGCCCCGCGTTTATCCGGCCCGAGCCAGCCCTCGCGGGGCTGATTGGAGAGCCTGGCACGGTCTACGCCCTTCGGCCGTGCCGCTCCCGCCGGGCTCGGGCGCTGCCTTCTCCCTCCCGCTCGGGGCGTCCCTCCTGCGGATCCGCGGGGTCACGGCCGCCCCTCTGCGCCTCCCCCGCTTTCTCTGCTCGCAAATCTCCCCCGGATCTGAAGACGAGGACGTGAATTTGGGATTAAATGCGTCCGGATTGGTTTTTTTTTTTTGGGAGAGCATCCTTGGAGGATGTTCTGCATCCATCGCCCCAGTCCCAGCTCTGCTCTCCCTCCCTTATGGGAATGATTTCCACCTCTGAGCGCTTCGGGAAAACGCTGCTTTCAGGGGGAAAAGCGGAGAAATAAAAGGGTTGGGTGGTGTTTAGATTTATTTTGAGGGTTTTCCTCAAACGCCTCCGCTTTGATGTACTCCCAGCGTGTCAGAAAACGGGGAAATGTCAAAGACATTTTTGTCAGCTTTGCAAAGCTGCTCAAACGAGAGCCTGGGATGATTTAAAAGCCAGGAAGAGCAGCTCCAGAGACAAATCCTGGCACGGAAAGGGCTGAAAGTTTAAGCCTGAACCTCAGACTAATCTCTCAATTCATTTAAGAAGCCTGAACACCTTTTACAACAAAGTCTTGGTCACCCAAAAGGAGCAAAACCTTCCCAAATCCAAGAAAAACCACGAGTTGAGTCGCCCGCTAGAGCAGATTCTTTCCTGAGGATCCGATTGATTTGTAGTTGTTCTTCCAGAGTTTCTGTTTGGAAAACAACGCGAACAGCCTCGGGACCCCCCAGATGTGGGGAACACGGAATTAAAAATCCACCTTGTGCCATCTCAAGGCAAATCCATCTCCTGGGGAAGGTCCCGTGGGAGCTCTGGTGATGCTCATGAGCAGGATCCCTGGGAATTGCGGGCAGTTTGTATTTAAATAAATCTCTAAGTCACTAAATATGATTTATCAGTGACCTCCTCCAGCTCTGCTGTCTCCAAACCCCTTTTCCTGCCGAAGTATCAGCACTGATCCCTTCTTTAATTCCCAAACCCAGCCCCTTCAGCCGGGCCTGGGTTTTTTTTTACCCTTAAAAAGGGAAACAAAAGATTTCCCTCAAATCCCCTGCGGACTTTGTTGATTTTATAGGAGGTGTTTGGTTACAGCCGGTTGTGCAAACGTGCCCCAAACCCGGCTTTTCCAGCCCTTTTTCCTTCTGCAGCCTCTGGTTTGGGAATTAGCCCCCCGAACTCACGGAACGCTCGGAAAAGCTCAGGAGCTGCAATGTTTTTAGGCAGAGAAAGGGAATTTGGGCAGAGTTACGAAGGAATTGGGAATATCCTGAGCTCGGAGGGATCAGCGAGTACCCGGCTCTGGCTGATCCCAACAATCCCACCCCGTCCCTGAGGGCTTTGCCCAGAGCTCCTCCAGCTCTTACGATTCCCTTTTCCAGGTTTTTTTCCTGAGGGAAGCCGTTTCCTTCCTTGATTTCTGCCTTTGTTTTGGGGAGTTTCCTGGGATTTGCCTCAGTTTGTGGCCGGACCTCCAAGGAAAACTCCCAGCGTTGTTGGGGATTTCAGGTGAGCCCGTGCACTGCGATCCCAGGGCTTCTCCCAGTGCCAGCAGCAATTCCCAGCGCAGAAAAAAGGGAATTCCCTGTGGAACTGCAGGGAAAAAGAATTCCCTGTGGAACTGAGGGGAAAGGGAATTCCTTGTGAAATTGCAGGGAAAGGATTTCCCTGTGGAACTGCAGGGGAAAAGGATTCCCTGTGGAATTGAAGGGGAAAGGGAATTTCCTGCGGAATTGAAGGGAAAAGGGAATTTCCTGTGGAACTGCAGGGAAAAGGAATTCCCTGTGGAACTGCAGGGAAATTAGTTCCCTGTGGAATTTCAGGAAAAAGGATCCTGTGGAATTGCAGGGAAAATGAAATTCCCTATGGAACTGCAGGGAAAAGCACCCTGTGGAATCCCCAGACTTGGTCTACAAGGTGATTTTTGCCCGGATTATTAGGATTTGATTTGATTTTTATTTTTCTTTGGCTTAGGTTTGGATGCTCAGGTGCAAACTGCAGATGGTAAAATTCAAAATACAAAGTGAGAAATGACAAGAAGGGAGAAAACACAATTTCACCATTTTGTTTTTACTTGCAAATAATAATAACAGCAAAAATAATATTAATAATAAAGGCAGAAATCGATATCTGTGCTGGGAATTATTAAGAAAAACAAATCAGAAATAAATCTAGAAATTATAGGAACACAAAGCATTAAATATTGTCCATTAAAAAAAAAAGCAGAGGGATGTGCACGGCCCCTGTTTTCCAGTTTTCTTGAGGAAGGAAAAGTCCTGGTGGCATCCTGGGGGAGCAAATCCCTTGGGAGCTGGAGGGGCCAGACTCCAAATTATTGTTTAATAATAAATAATTTATAATTGCTGCGTGCCAAAAGTCACTGTGGGGCTGTGAAGGCAGCGTCCCCTCTCTTTTTCCAGGGATTGTTCCGCTGTCCGGGCTGGCAGAATTCTTTTGGATTGGCTCCTGTCGCGATCGGGGCTCGGCTCTGGAGCAGCGGGAGCTTTCCCGGTGCTTCTTCCCGGCTCACCTCCGGCTCCCGGCGCTGATTCCCGCGGGCAGAGCGGGGGGCAGGCGCTGGGCACCGCCGGGGGTGGCACCGGGCTGCACCCCGGGGTACCCGCCCCCGTACCCCGCCCCGAGAGCGCTGCCGCCGCAGCAGGAGCTGGAGGAAAAGGGACCTGGAATTCCCCAGGGAGCCGGGAAGGGCCCGCAGCCCCCCGGGCAGGGTTTGCCGTCCCGCACCAGCACCGGCACCGCCACCGTGCGCGGGGACAGCGCGGGCACGGCCGGCGCCGGGCTCCGCTCCTGCCGCTGCCTCTTGCTCTTGTAGCGCCGGTTCTGGAACCAGATCTTCACCTGCGTGGGGCTGAGCTGCAGCAGCCGCGCCAGCTGCTCCCTCTCGGGCCCCGACAGGTATTTCTGCCGCTGGAAGCGCCGCTCCAGCTCCAGCACCTGGGCCTGCGAGAACAGAACGCGCGGCTTCCGCCGCTGCCTGCGCGCCTGGCTGGGCTCCCCGCGCCGCTCCTCGGCCTCAAAGCTCGCAGCGAGCAGAGATTTTCCTGCGGCAGGGAGAAAAAGAAAGCAAAGTCAGACCCAAATCCAGCTCCGTTTCCAGCGAGAGGGAGGGATCAAACCGGGAGTGGCACCCCTTGGGAATAGGATGGAGTAGGGCTGACAGTTCCTAAGGTGAAGGCTGATACTTGATAAATTTAATAAGAATTTTCCCGTGATATTTATTGAGAACTCAATAAAATTCTTTTCCCCGCCCCCTTTTTAATTTTTTAAAATTTATTTTTAATTAAGCTATTACACGAATTCTGGATAAAATCTCCTTTCCCCCTTCCTCTGAAGTTTTGGGGAAAGCGGGCACAGTTCGAGTATTCCAGACCCCAAATTCCCTTTCCCCACCATCCTGCTGTGGAATCCACACCTCCGGCAGGATCTGCCTCCAGCTGCAGGAAAGGAGAATCCCACCTTCCTCCGAATTTCGGCAAAACAAAAAATCCCGAAGGAGCTGGGAGTGGAGGAGGGAAAATCGTTAAATCTGAGAGGAGTTGCGGGTTTGGGGAGATTTGTGATTTGCTGGGAATTTGTGCGGCAGAGGAGCAGCCGGGATCAGGTCCAGCTCGGGCTGGGATGCGCTGGGAATTCGGGAATTCCAGGGGGTTCTGGAAGGCTCTGGATGATGGAAGGTGTGAAGGGGACAGAATCCCCCCGGGCTCCGCTCTCCCCCTCCCAGTCTGCCCAGCTCTGCCCCCGCTGCTTTCCCCGCTCTGCAGCCGCTGGGCGTGAGGGGAACAGGAGCAGAGGAATTGTTGGGATTTCAGCTGCGGGGAGAAGCGGGACAGCTCCGACCCCCGCTCGGATCCTCCGCGCTGCCGGGGCCGGGCGGGTCCCCGGCGGGGCCGGCTCACGGAGCGCCGCACGGGGGTGACATCCAAAGCGGTGGCGATGGGTGACTTCGGGCAGGAAAAACCCCTCAAAATCCTAAACCCACCCCCAGCTCCATCCACCCCAGGACGGTCCGGTTCCCCGAGGGCAGCCGGAGCTGCGGGGATGCGCGGGGGATACGCGGGGGATGCGCGGCGGCTCCGGGGCGCAGCGGGATGCCCGAAAAAATGCCCCCCAAAAAACCCAAAACCAAACCAGGGGGTAAAAAAGAGTGGGGAAAAGGGAAAAGGGAGGAAAAGGGGAACCACCGGGACCGGCGGGTGCGAGGACGCAGCGCCGGGGAACGAGAGCGGCTCCGCAGGGTCCCCCCGGTGCTTCCTCCGCCCGTCTCCGCGGGGTCCCGCGGGCACTTACGCGGCCGCGGCTCGTCCTGCCCGGCGGGGCTGCGGGCGGCTCGGGCCGCGGGGGCGGTGCGGGGCCCCCCGGGCCCCTCCAGGTTGAGGATGTCCCTCACCGAGAAGGGCGTGGGGAGCATCTCCGGGCGCTGCCGGCCCCGCTCCCGGCTCCGACCCTCCACGAAGCGCCCCCGGCCCGGGGGGTCCCCGGGGGTCGGGGGGAGCAGGGGAAGGAGGGGAAGGAGAGGAAGGAGGGACAGTGCCGGGAGGGCTCTCCCTGCCGCCCGGGGGGCTCCGGCTCCCCATGCGCTGCCCCCTGAGCCGCGAGGAAGGAGCAGCCCCTTCCCTGCGTGTTTCCAAAACAAGGGAAGCGGGAAGGAGAGGAGGGAGGGGGGCAGGGGGTGCCGGCTTTGGGCTGAGCCGCAATAAAACAAATCCAGTCCATTTGAGCTCCATTAAGGTCACATTAGCGAGCGGCTCCGCCAGATAAGCGCTGATAAGGAGCGCAGACCACCAAGCTCCTGCGGGAGGGGAGGGGACGCTGCGACAGGGACGTGGGACAGCTTC